CATCACTAATCATCAGAGAAATGCAAATCAAAACCACCAAGAGATACCCTTTCAAACCAGTCAGAATGACTATTATTAAAAAGTTAAAAAAACAACAGATGCTGGTAAGGCTGTGGAGAAAAAGGGGATGCTTACACACTGTTGATGGGAACGTAAACTGGTTTGGCCACTGTAGAAAGTGGTTTGGAGATTTCTCAAAGTTCTTGAAACAGAACTATCATTTGACCAAGTAATCCCCTTACTGGGTATATATCCAAAGGAAAAATAAATCATTCTACCAAGAAGACACAAGCCCTTGTATATCTGTATATCTATTGCAGCACTATTCACCACTGCAAAAACATGGAATCAACCTAGGTGCACATCAACAGTGGATTGGATAAAGAAAAGATGGTACATATACACCATGGCATATCACACAACCATAAAAAGGAATAAAATCGTGCTCTTTGCAGCAACATGGATGTAGCCATTATCCTAACTGAAAACCAAATACTGCATGTTCTCACTTGTAAGTGGGAGCTAAACATTGAGTACACATGGACATAAAGATGAGAACAATAGACAATGAGGGCTTTTGTGGGTGGAGAGAGAGATGGGGCAAGGACTGAAACACTGCCTATAGGGTACTATGCTCAGTACCTGGATAATGAGATCAACCATACCTAAACCTCAGCATCATGTAACAAACCTGCACATGTATGCCCGGAATCTAAAATTAAAGTTGGAATTATTTTTTAAAAACCTACTTGTGTGTTATTATTTTTGCATATTGATGGATTCGATGTTCTAACATTTTGTTGAGGATTTTGTGTCTATATTTATGAGAAGGTAACTTTAGCAAGCCATTTACCATTTCTGAATTTCAGGTTCCTCTGTTCTAAAGTAAATTTTGTTGCCCTTAATTTACAGAGTAATTGTAGAGACAAAATAGGGACCAGCTAAATGATGACATGCTTTGTAATGTGTAAAGCACTACATAAAGGCAAGGAATGAGAAGGGCTTGTTCAGTCTTTGTGCTGTCTCCCCAGCTACATAATTTGTCCCTCCTTTCTGCCTTCTTAGGTGTAGTGCTATTTGCTTTCATGGAAAAGAACTTATGGAAGAGATAATATGCATGCACTTCTCAGAAAACTTGGCACATTAAGTCAGGTCATCCAATATCACAAATTAGTGTAGAGGTTTTTTTTCCCCAATTACTTTGGAACTCTTCTAAGACCAGGAATAATACTCCCAAATGAATAGGGAATTCTGTGGCCCAGCCTAACCTTTAGAATACTGTGTCACTGCTAATGCAGAAAACCTACCGAAAGGTAAGAGAAAGTCAAAGACAAATACTTTAATGTGGTACCTTGTCTGGCTCCCAACAGGGAAAAACTTGGTCAATGTGACACTGGGCAGTGTCTCTCAGATACCTGCAGTCCAGTCTTTGTAGACAGAACTCACTTCTAGATCTTTATTCACATAGTTTATTCAAATTAACAAGAGCTAGGATTTGATTTGAGCCCAAGAAAGAGTTTAATCATCATGAGGGCATGGACACAGGTCAGTGTAATAGTGGAAACTGCTCACATTAAAAAAATCTCTGTATTCCTTCTTTCACCAAAATCAAAGCTTTCAGGAAATCAATACAGAAAATAAACTCTTCTAAGACTTGCACCACTGCAGTTGATGGGCTCTAGAAGCTGCAGCAGCAGCAACCTTTGCTAATAACACTTCACTACAAGCTGTTTTAAAGAGTGGCAGAATGTATATTATATTTACCAGAGTTTGTACATTATTATTGTTCCGTCTCTCTCTGAAATAATTCTAAATTGGCACTTTGATGTCCATGCCAGTTCCTTTATTAACCTGACTGGGAGAACTGGTATACAATCTTTGCAACATCATTAGCCACAGCATGACCAGGAATTAAAAATCGCCTATCATTAGAAATAAAAATGATCAACAAAATAACGCAAGACATAAATTCTCAAGCTTAGGGGATAAGGTAAAAGAAGATAAAAATATAAGTTAAATTTGCCAAAAGGTTTGTTTGGATATGACTCTTTTGGGTGAAAATAAATAATCCTAAAGAAAACTGGGGCTTGCAAAAGAAAATTGAATTTAATATTATTATAATTGTTATTGTTTGGGGAAAAATGTTACTTCTTTTATCAGTTTCCTCTTGCTAGAAAAAAAACACTGTATCTTCTCAGCTTCATGATAAATCTGGTTTTATACTTCACTATGTATAAATAAGGGAATTTTGAGAAGAGGATATGAATTTTTTCTAACTTCCCTAATTGATTACTAGCTAGAATCTATATCTAGGTCTAAGTATCTTTCTTTTTAACAACATTTCTATCTTCTTATGTCTTCCACTTTTTATTAAATTTTACCCTTTTCCCTTGCAAATTGGCAAAAAAGTTACAACATCAACAAGCTTATTGGCCAGGTGCGGTGGCTCAGGCCTGTAATGCCAGCACTTTGGGAGTCTGAGGCACGCAGATCAGGAGGTCAGGAGATCGAGACCATCCTAACCAACATGGTGAAACCCCATCTTTAAAATAATAAGAATAATAATGACAATAAAAGAACAAGTTTATCAAAATTATCTTTGAGAAACCAAGACCCAACAGGGAGGCAGAGTGATTAAATTGATTGATCAGAGTTTGATAGAAGAAGGGATGTTTCCAGATTCACCTCATACGAGAATGCCAACCAACATGGCCATTCCTAAGAAATATTTTGCAAAAAATTTCTTTTTAAAAGCTCTGTCTTAATGCGTAGTAACTTGGTCATTTTTTGGTTATAAAGAGTAGAATGACTTCTTCATTACAAAAGAGTGTGAAAACTACATGCTCTGATGCCAACTCCCTTGTAAAGCAATGTCATGTTGGAGGAGGGAACCATCATTGTTCAAGGGAGCCAGGTATATGTGGTTGCGGGGAGCCTTTGTCAGGCCCACAATGAGTTTCTTGTTAGGTGTGAGGGGGTTCAGGCAGATCGTGACAATACACAAAGTACAGAGTGAGTAAGAGGCAAAGTGAGCACAACATTTTTTTGTACTCTTGATTAGAACTACAAAAACTGTGACAGGACGTGCAACTAAGGTTTTAAAATTCAAGTAAGTTGGAAAGAGTTCAAAGGAAAACAACAAGTTGATAAAGGGTTTATATGTCAGCCTCTAAATAAAGGGTGCAGAGTGCTGGGAATGTTCAGTTGAAAGGAAAAATAAAACTGAAATGAGGCATAACAGTCTCTAAACACGTAAGAGGATGTTAAACAAGAGAAATCTCAATTACTCTTATTAGTTATTAATGAGATTAAGCTTTGGGAAAGTCATAAAATGTATAATATTTGAAAATCATTCTCTTCTACAGACTCAAAAGTCAAAAAATAATTTCTGTGGCTCTCCAATCAAATTACCAAAGTTAGAAGCTACACATACAGTGTTGGTTGTTTTCAACACATATATGATGAAGAATATTTACATTTATGCCTCATGCCTAAATAACCTATTTGAATAAACAGGCATTGTGTTGATAAAAACCACATTTTGCAGAAAGGAGAAATACAAATTAATCATCCATGGGACTGACTTAAAATCTTAAAGAAGCATCGATCATTAAAAATGAGGCAAGTACATTGATATATTAGTATAAATCAATGAAAAGAGGATTAAGAAATAAGAAAAAATGAAATAGGCTGGAAACCATAGGATCTTGAGTACTCCCATAAAGAACAAAAGAAGTTTATTCATTGTAGAGAAGAGAACCCTTTATAAATTCACTAAGGTGACTTAAAAGTTAATGATGCAAAAATCTTAAGACCTTTGCAAGAGTTCTCAAGCCTGGTGATGGCTGTGAAAGCCATGATGAGAAAACTGCACTAATTATCTACAAGTACTCTGGATTGTCAGGAAAGTCAAGAAAGATGAACAAACCACAATGAAACAACCGAAATGAATCTTAGAAGCCAAGCAGAAAGTGCATCAAAAAATTGATCTTAACAGATGTGTCAATCAGATTGGAAGTATCTAAACAAGCGCAAAATGAAACCATAAGAAAGTTACAAAGGAAAAACTAAAAATCAAAAAGTTTTGAAAATGCTGCAGGATGCTATAGAAAGGAAAAGATATTAATACAGACCATTACGAAGGACAAGTCTGTAAAGCTGACCAAGATTACAAAGAAAACCTCTCTGGAGTGATAATGGTGGAAAAGGGAAACAAAGGTGTGAGGATATGGGCTCAGGGTGGGTAGGCAGGAAACTTTAAGCAAGCTCACCACATGCAGAGAATTAAAGAGAGGGTGGTTGACAGAAAAGAATAAAATGTTTTTAGGGAATGTGTCTCTCTGTGCCAAGTGCTATCTCCTGAATCCAAACAAGTAGATGAGTGAGGGGAAGATTTGTGGTTGGATGAAGGCTTTAAAAGGTACATCCCTGAATCACAGAAATCAGGCCCTGGCAAACGCCTGTTGGGTGACGGAGTTCACTGTCTCACTGCACTGTTCCTCCCAGCAGGTGGCTGGCAAATGCTGTGTCCAGTTCGGTTCCAGGCCAGCAGGACAGTCTTGTTGTGCACAGCAGGCAACCTTTCAATTACTATATAAAAAACTGGACGTTAATACTCATGTATTAACCATGTTTGACAGACAAAATAGAAGTTTAGGCCCTTTGGAATAGTAGTGGAGAGTCTCTAGGAAAAGAGCTCAGGGAGACAGTGTATACTCATTGTGACTGGAAGTGAAGACAGATAAAAGGCTAAAAGCCAGGAGCAGGGGAAAATATGTGAAGGAATGGGAAGAACTAAGGGCTTGACAATAGGTGCCTTGGTGAAACTAAAAGTAGGTAGATGCTCAGTACAGCAGAAACCACTCAATCAACATTGATACTAACTCAAATGAAAGACTTAGGCATATAAAATCTAATCTGGGATGCTGATGTGTTCTATTATAGCTAGTCCATGTGCATTTAATATTGTTACAGAGAAAGTATCATAATATAGTGCTTACTGAAAATGATAGTGGGACAGAGTAGGATCCTGATGTATATTTGTAGAATTCCAGTTTTCTTCTGATACCAGTAACCACTTCTATTCTGCACAGAGAGAACACAGAAGGAACCGGTTACACAGTGCTCAAATAAAACTTAAGACAACAAATAAGAGAGGGCAGGCATTTCCAGTCTCTTATATAACTAGGGGCAGAATTTTCTGAGGAAGCTGGGAAGAAGCAAACATCTTAAAAATACTATTAATAGATAATCCCTGCTTCAAAGGCACTTTGAGCAACTGCAGCTTGAATGACTAAGAAAACCAACCAATAGTCATAAAAGCCCTGATAGAAGAAAGAGATCAGGAAAACCCAGAGGAAAAGAGAACTCAGATTTAAGAGTAACCCCTTGATTATATCTAGCTAAGAGTTTAACCATTTCCTTGGTGGCGAGGAGCACTGAAATGATCAGAATCTCTTTCAGAGTAAAGGGAAAGTAATTATTCATGACCATACAGTGTAGTACATGTGTAGTTCTCATGCCTTAAGGACACTTTTGTTGCCTTCACATTGAAGTCACCTTTTGCTGCAAATAAATATCTAAACTGGAGAGACTGATGATAGCAGTTAAAATCGTAATACGTAAAGGTGGAAGAGCTTACATGGGGTGAAGTTACAAGTTATGTAGCGACAAACAAACCATGACTAAACTCACAATCTTGCCAATGTGAGGGTTTTTAAGCAAAGGAGAGCATAGGTTTCTTGGGGCATTATTTTCACTTTTAGCTATATTAAAAATCACGTGAGAATAATTTACAGACACAAAATTTCTCCTATTAGAATTGAGTTTGTAGCAGAATTCTTCTGTTGGTTATACCTTTATGTATTTATCTTGTGAGGTCTAATTGACCATTGTTTGCCACACCTTTCCAGGAGACAATGATCACAGCCTATTGTTTGTTTTTGTTTTTTTGTTTGTTTGTTTATTTTGAGATGGAGTCTGGCTCTGTTGCCTAGGCTGGAGTGCAGTGGCACAATCTTGGCTCACTGCAACCGCCACCTCCCGGTGGAGCAATTTTCCTACAAACTCCACCTCAATTTTCCTACAAACTCCACCTCCTGAGTTCAAGCGATTCTCCTGCCTCAGCCTCCCTAGTAGCTGGGATTACAGACATGTACCACCATGCCCAGATAATTTTTGTATTTTTAGTAGAGATGGGGTTTTGCCATGTTGGCCAGGCTGGTCTCAAACTTCTGATCTGAGGTGATCAGCCAGCCTTGGCCTCCCAAGTGCTGGGATTACAGGAGTGAGCCACCACACCTGGCCTAATGCCAATTGTCTTGACTCATACAGTCACAGCCTCTGTTCTTAGCTATAGACCATACTTGCTAGATAACGGGTTAAAAAAGAATCTAAATATGTGACTTAGTTTATGTATTTGTTAACTAGATATAAGAAATTGAATATTTCCTAAACTTGGAAAGCTGCAGTGAAGATTAACGGGAGCACTTTTAAATATAAAATCAGCAATCATAATAACTGAAATGGCAATGTGCCAAAATAAAACCAAAACCAAAAAGAATATTGTAACATTGTATTTTTTAAAACTACAATGGAGAGAAAAATTTCTCTTTTATTTGTTTAAGGGAAGGGGTGTATTTCACCCTTAAAACCATGAATGTTTTCCCTGAGAGATGTTCCATGGCTCATTGATATAAGAGTCATTGAAATGTAAAGGCAGCATCATGATTCGATGTTCTTCACTTTTGTACAGTGTTTATCAACTGCAGGTTTCTAGATATACCCATTCATAACATCTTAAGTATTATAATATTAGGCAACACAGAATCCAATGGCTTTTGACTGGTGAATTCATCCTCAATTGGAAAGTAAACATCTAAGATCAGATTAGTTGACAATTCTGATCTTTGGTATTCTATCACATTAAGTCATGGTACTATTTATATTCATTCAACAAACTTTTCATTTTATTAGTTTTCCCATTTATAAAGTCATCTAAAATTTATGAAAGGTGATGAAGAAAAGCATGTTTGCGCAAAGAACCAAAATGTTAATTAACAGTCTTCTTTTGTTCCCAAGAAATTTAAGGAGGATCACAAAAACAGATAATATCAAGATAATACAGGTTAGTGAGAAACCTGTAACAAAAAGAAAAGATAGGAACATTAAACAAATCCAAGAATGAAATAGAAGCAAACGCATGTACTATTAAGCCCAATCTTATTGTCAAAAATGGGTTTCAGATTAAGTTTCATGCTTTTTAGTGGCCAATGCAAAGGAGTAAAAGTCCTCAGTTACAAGCATCTTAGAATCTTTATGATAATGTAAATATACTGTCTCAGAGAAGCACAATTATTCTTGATAATAAGACTACAAAGAAGTTTCTCAAAGTGTCCTCATGGAAATTGTCCTGAACAGCATGCTTACTTCAATCCCAGGGACAAGTTTCACAGGGCTGTTCCTTAAAGCTCCCAGTGGAATCAATTTAGTGAAAGCAATTTTGTAGAGAAGATGAAGAGTGAGGGTCAGTTTACTGAGGTCTACTTTCTCAGTGCCATGAAGAGTCACAAAAAAATTGCTATATAAAGATATGAATTTTTGCCAATGAAATCTTATAATAGTAACAACTTCTATATACAAATGGCCAACAAGCATATGGAAAAATTCTCAACATCACTAATCATCAGGGAAATGCAAATCAAAACCACAATATGATAACATCTCACTTCTGCAAGAATGGCCATAATAAAAAAAAAAAACAATAGATGTTGATGTGATGTGGATGTGGTAAAAAGGGAAAAGTTTTACTGTCTTGGTGGTAATCTAAACTAGCACAACGACTGTGGAAAACAGTGTGGAGTTTCCTTAAAGAACTAAAAGTAGGTCTACCATTTGATCCATCAATCCCACTACTAGGTATCTACCCAGAGGAAAAGAAGTCATTATATAAAAAAGGTACTTGTACATGCATGTTTATATCAACACAATTTGCAATTGCAAAAATATGGAACCAGCCCAAATTCCCCTCAATCAAGTAATGGATAAAGAAAATGTAGTATGTATATAGATGTATATACATGTGTGTATGTGTGTGTATATAGATATATACACACACACACACATATAGATGTATGTATATCTATAAACACAAATATATAAATGTGTGTATGTGTATATATATGTGTGTGCGTATATATATACCCATATTCCATGGAATACTGCTTAGTCATATAAAGGAGCAAAATAATGGCATTCACAGCAACCTAGATGGCACTTATTACTCTAAGTGAAGTAACTCAGGAATGGAAAACCAAACACTGTATGTTCTCAGTCACAAGTGGGAGCTAAACTATGAGGACAAAAAGGCATAAGAATGATACAATGATCTTTGTGGACTGGTGCAGGGGAAGGATGGGAGGAGGTGAGGGATAAATGACTGCACATTGAATACAGTGTACACTGCTTGGTGATGGGTGCACCAAAATCTCAGATTCACCACTAAAGAACTTATTCATGTAACCGAATACCACCTGTTCCCCCCAAACCTATTGAAATAAAAAAATAAATTAAAAACAACAAAACTAATAATATAACAGCTTCTTATGCATATGGATTATATTTAATATTCATTTTAAAATGGAAAGTACTATCACTGTCTTCTTGAAAATCTCAAATAGGAGTTTTTGGCTTTTATATATATCATCTGCTTTTAAAGAATTGTTCATAAACCCTTTAAAAAACAATAAACAGAGGTCTTGTGACTCTGCTTGATTAAAAAAATAATTCCCTTTTCCCAAATAAAGAGAATAAAGTTAGAATAAATAATCTTTAAGATATTTTACTTCCTATACTTAATGGTTTTAATGTATGTCACGATAATGCCTTGTTTTTAAAGCAAATAAACTTTCTTGTTTTCTCAGAAACCTCAAAAGGCAAAGCAAAAATCAGTGTATTGATCCCTACAATGGGATTTCAATGTTATTCTAGCTTCAGAAGGTTTCCAGTTACAGAGAAATATTTTAGTAATCATAAGGTTCAGACAGACCTTATGTGACCCTATTCATTCCTGACCAACAAATAGTTTTTGTTTAACTTCGAAATAAAGCAGACAAACCCTACAAGGTTACTTGTAATCATGACACCATTCTTAGAATTGCCATGTGCTGGGAACATGTCTTCTCGCTTCCTCCTTCTATCTATGGTATAAATCTGAAGGACTTTGTTATGGCTCTTATACTTGGCACATCTTAGGCCTATTTAGAACATCAACACCATCAATCACATAATATGGGGCCGACCAGCTGGATGAACCCTGGCTATCATTCAGGGGTTATTTGTCATCTGGGCATGTCTGTTTGGTATATAACACTCCTTCAGTCCCAGAACAATTTTCCCCCTCCAAAAATATTCTCTTTGATTCAGGAAACACGTGATTAATAAAGGACAAGGGTTTAAAGCCTGAGGTCAAGGCTAAAAGTCTTAACCAAACAAGTGCATTGCTTACTAACGTTTGCATCAACAGTCAAAAATTCCCTTGAAGAGCTCCCACACCGAAGAAACACACATCTATTCATAAATGCCATAAATTTCAGGGGACTTCAGTAACTATGATCATCTGGAGAGATTTATTTTAAAATAATGTTGTGCATCTAGAAATGTTTTGCTGCAGAATAATAACACTGCATCAAGCATTTAAAAGGTTCATTACAAACATTTACAATTTAATATAAAAAAATTAGGGTTGAGAAGACACAGTTTTACCAATATGATATGCAAAGGAAATTTGTACTATAACATTAGGACAATTTACATTAAAAATAAATTGTTTTCTAAGATGTCTGTTTACACTAAAATGGATTTAAAAGCAATATTCCTTTCCTCATATTCTTTGGCTTGTTTATATGCCAGTCTACAATACTTTATAGTACTTTTCCATTAGACAGTTTTTCTTTTATACTTGTTTCCCTTTCTTTTACCAAAAGAAGCTTATTTCATGTTTATAGAATATTTTCTTCCTTCTAGGCAACTTATAGTTCCACCCTGTAATAGTATGTATCTGATATTATGAATTGTTTGGGTGTATG